TAAGAAGCAAGCACACTCACCCTCCTAATCTGGTGCCTGCAGGGAGCAACAGCTGTGCTTAGCTAACACCCTCGGTAGAGACATCTGGTGCCACAAAGGGTAGTGTATCTCCCAGGCCAAGTTTCAAGAACAACTCTGAGTTTCTGGTAACCTGAGTGAGACTGGGTCAGACCTCAGAAAGCTATAGATATAGAAGTATAACTGCTACACCTCTACATGACAGACATAAAGATGGAGAGAAGGTAAATTTCTTTATCAGGGAGTCAGGCTGACCACCCAGCTAAGAGGAAGTTACTGTACAGTCTGTGACTGACCAACTCTGCAAAAATGTTATATGGGAACAGTAATGTTTTTGGACAGAGGAGTAAGATATATATTTCCCTTTATGATCATGATGAAGCACAGGCAAGGAGACTGTGCCTGGATCGGTAAATTTCTGCAACAGTTTTAGAAAAATAGCTGCTATTGAAGTCAGCATACACTCAGAAACTTCAAAAAATCCTGTTTGCAGAAACGGATTGTAAAAGTTTTCCAGTCAGGGGGAAAATGTAATATAGTTGCCTAGAGTTAGATCACTACAATCAGACCCTTACAGACTAATTTTACTAGTACAGGACTGCATTGATCAGAGAGGATGGGATTCCCAAAAGGCAACAGGGTCCACTGGATTAAGCAAAGGCCTATGAGCTGCAAACTCCCACATTCTAATCCTGGCTCTGCGACTGATTCATTGTGTGACCTCAGGTAAATCACATTAACATCTCTATCTTTCTCTGTGCTGGGAACTATCGTTGCAACTTGCATTTAGTATGACTGAACCTATGCAAGTTGCAACAGTGCAGTGCATCCATACTAGATACACTATTGTGGATGCAGGACTGACACATCCCTATAATTCACTCCATGCAAGCATTTCAGAAGCACTGTAGTGGGACCTATCCCACAGGTCTGAACATAACCACTTGCAGTAGGAACATGCCTGATAGCAGTGAATTGAATAGATTGCTACAGTAAAATGATTGTGCTACATTCTGTATTATACAATTTAATTGTTAGATAATACTGAATATAATTTGATGTTTGGCTACTAGTCCTTGCAGATTAGTTCAATATTTTCAGTTGTGTTTACCTGGGTGAGACTCTGCATGTGCATCCCTTAGAGCAGGTGTGGCCAACCTGTGGCTCCGGAGCCACATGTGGCTCTTCAGAAATTAATACGCGGCTACTTGTATAGGCATCGACTCCGGGGCTGGAGCTACAGCACCAACTTTCCAATGTGCCGGGGGGGGTGCTCACTGCTCAACCCCTGACTCTGCCACAGGCCTAGCCCCCACTACACCCCTTCCTGTCCCCTCCCCTGAGCCTGCTATGCCCTCGCTCCTCCCACCACCCCCCAGAGCCTCCTGTGTGCCACAAAACAGCTGATTGGGGAGGGAGGGGAAGGTGCTGATCAGCGGGACTGCTGACATATTACTGTGGCTCTTTGGCACTGTACATTGGTAAATTCCGGCTCCTTCTCAGGCTGGCCACCCCTGCCTTAGAGTTATGCTCCAACACTGCTTCTTGCAGCAAGATGTCTAGGGAGCCTCTGCAATTCCTTCCCTCCTGCCCAACTGATTAGTACCTAGTAATATATTTTGATATCCACCATTAATATGTGACTGACAGTTATTGAAAATGTTTTTTTCCCCATAAAAAAAAATCTCCAATCATGAATCTCTTGTTTGCTGCCTAGGATCCAGAGAAGTGTGTTCTCAGATCCATGGTACGAGCAGAGCATCTCTCCTTAGGAGACTCCTGCATGTGAATTCCCTTTCTGTAATGTCAATGTTCCCTGCAGGAACTATACCACAGAGAGGGGAATCTGAAGATTTCTCAGGTGTGAAGAGGATTGGTTAATAAGACTAATGATTTCAGTATATCATTAGATAATGAATTATACCCTCTCCTTGACTGCTACTAACTTTTTCCTGCTAGAGTTGACTTATCCCTGGATCCCATTAAAAACACTTCTGAAGAGCAAATATTTGCCTTTGGAGTGGTCTAACAGGAACCAAGTGAAATCAGAATGCAGCTAGAGTAAGGTGGCTTTTTTAAAAGTTTTTCCTTGGTGTTTACACTCTTTCTGTACTGTTATATCCTTTGCTTTATTTAATGCACTGTTTACACAGTTCCATCTATCCCCATAATTATTTTGTTTATTTCTGATCTCTTTTGACCTGTCAGCATCTGTCTAGTATTTATGAAGACTTCAAATAATATATCTGGCCTACCCAACCACCCATAATTTTAAAATGAATGCAGTTTTAACACACTCATCAAAGCTAAGGTCTCATTTGCTGATCTATGTTGGGTAACTCCAGTAGGAACACAATGTTGTGAACTCCAGTCTTATGAATAGGGTTACCATTCGTCCGGATTCTGCCGGACATGTCCGGCTTTTTTGAGTTAAAAATAGCGTCCGGGGGGAATTTGTAAATGTCCGGATTTCCCCCCCATGCAGAGTGCGCGCGGCTGACAGGGCAGCCGGCCGGATCGTGCCACTCGCACGGGGCTCCGGCAGCCAGAGAGAGCTCCCTCCTCCACTTCCCCCTCCTCTCCCCTGCAACTTGAGACCACTCCCCTCCTCTTTCTCTCTCCCTCTTTCCCCCTCCCTGCATTCGCAGATCGCCGGCCGTTCGCCTCGGGCCTACGGCAGTCTGGAGCTCCGCCCCCTGCTCCGCTCCCCTCCCCCTGCTGCCGAGCGCGCTGCTCTGCAGCACTCTGTTCTGAGCGGCACGGTAAGGGGGTCAGGGGGTCAGAGAAGCGGCAGGGAGGTTCTGGAGGGGGTAGTCAAGAGACAGGGAGCAGGGGGAGGGTTGGATGGGTCGGGAGTTCGGGGGGGCTGTCTGGGGGTTGGGAGTGTAAGGTTTTGGGCAGTCAGAGTACAGGTGGGGGCAGTTAGGGGACAAGGCACAGGGAGGCTTAGGTA